CATTATGATATAGTTTGTCTAATTAAATTAGATTAGTTTGATAAATGACTCATATGAAGTATCGAATTTAATTTGTATGAAGGAAAATGCCATACTTTATAGACAGGTATCGTAGTGACGAGACAAACACACATAGCGAACAATTTTAAACTATCGATAATTGGTTTAAATAATTATCAAAGTCAACTAAAATTATTATTTTCTTATTCACTAATTTATAGGACAATTCTAGTATTGTTTATAATGAAGAGATGATGACAGAAATAATAGCGAAATCCAATTCAATTATTTACGGTTGTAGTAGTAATAAACATTTATTTACTCTCACTATGGGTTATGGTCATTATTAAATTGAGAAAAGTGTTTTTTTTTAATTGATAAGTTTTAACGAAAAATCTATCAATTCCAACTTTTGTAAGAATAAAAATCGAAAATCGATAAGATTCATGACTGATTTTACACAACCCATCCCTAATAAATTTGAAATAAATTATTTAGACACACTAAAGATCGAAGACGAATATATGTAAATAAAGATTTTTTTTTGTGACTGAGTTGTCACTGTTTGCCTTGAAGAGGCATTTACAGATTCACCGGGCTTGAGGTGGGCGAGCGCAGATGGCGCTTAGCCTAAACCTCTTATTAAAGAATTATTAACATACAAGTCTTTAATTTAAAGTAAGATTATTCACTTTAATTAAAGACATTAGATGTGAAAATGCTGTGATTTTTTTTAGTGAAAATTACAAAACAACAATTTAATATTGTTCAGTATTGATAGCTAATGTTATAAAATAGAATATGTTCTTTTCTAGTATTATTATGGATTTCATAAGTTTTTTTAAATGAATATTTAGGCTATCAATTGCAACAGAAATATCATCATCAACTCATATGTCTCCACCGAGGGGCTCTGAGCCAACCCTGAGTTAGGGTGACAGGAATATTATAAATGTTAATTTTGTCACTTTATTTGTGTAGTGATCATCCCACGCCTGGAGCGTACGCTGGCGTACATCATTTCGGAGCTGGACGAGCTGGAGCGTGAGGAGTTCTACCGGCTGAAGAAGATCCAGGATAAGAAGAAGATTATCAAGGATAAAGCGGAAGCTGTAAGTTGTTAAAAATGTTTTATACAGAGTGTTGCATAACTTTAAAACCCACAATAACAATAATTCTATACTGGACATCAACTTGTATGATGTAACAACATCAAGATGTTTGAATATTTCGATAATAAAATAAAATAATATTAAAATAATATAAATTAAATACATATTTTGTAGTAAAATGCTTTATTTCTAACTCTGTTGTTTGTTGTTGTTGTTGTTATTTTTCTATGTATGTCGTGTAAACCTATAATTAGGGCAAATTATCTGCATGTTACTTATTGTATTGTGTAAGAATGTATGTGTCATAATTTTGTACTGTTGGTTTATCTTAATAAATAAATAAAATAAAAATAAAAACTCTAAATGCAAACAATTAATTGAATAATTCACTTTCATGCAAATAAAATCTCATAGTTGTGAATTTATCGTTATTTTTTTTTTAAAATGGTTTATTATTAACAAACATAAATAAGAGGGGTTAGTGTGTTATTGAGAGACAATAGTAATTCTTATTTTTATATATTATAGTATATATCTTTACATTACAGTCTCTATATTGCTTTTACCTTACTAATAATGAGATAGTTATTACTGATTCATTATTAATTTGACTTTTAATGAGATATGTTTTTTTTCATATAGAATTATTTCCCATTAGGCCGATTGACTGGTTGGCCCAACGGTTTTATTTGTGGCTATTTTTAAGTTATGTGATGTTTGTAGGCGAAGCAAGCTATGCTGGGCGCGGGCAAGGATGTAGGCGACATCGCGAACTTGCTCGATGAAGGTGATGAAGATTTGCTCTTCTAGAAACCGGACATAGCTGTAAGCCGTAGAAGTCTGGAAAGCAGTCAAAGTTGGAACCAATGTTTATGCAAATGTTTGAACCAACTTTGCCACTTGTATTGTAAACATTACCAACCTTTGAAGCAATTTTTATGATATTACAGTGTTCTGTACATAATTTGTTGACATAGTTACTCATGTTAAAATATATCTTATTGCGTAGTGGTTACGGTTTAAAATGCGTTGACTTTCATTGGCTTTCCTTCTGCAAGCATTCCAACAATCCTTGTTAGTATTAAATAAGCCGAAATGTTATTTAAATATATTAAATATTCAACTAAAACTCGTTGACGCTTGTTTCAAGCCTTGGGTCAAAAGACCGCAGCTTATGTTCTGAGGAACGAATACCATAAGTACACCCTATATAGTATTTGTTTTTTTTGAATTGTTGTTTGTAGATCAAGATATTTTAAGTAAGCATCATGTAAATACAAGTTTGGGAAAGAAATATATTATTATTATTGAAGAAATTGTTTTATTTAATCCCTTCGTAGATTTAATTCAAACAAACATGTCAATCTATACTTCTTGCTATTATAATAAAGCGTAAACTCACACTTCTTTGTTGCCTAAGATGTCAGCAATTACATCATGTTTTTGAATAAATTTTTTTTTATTAAGAAGCCCTACACTTGCGTCATGCTTTAGGCTATATATTTTCACGCCATTTAAACTTAGGGGGTAAACATTTTGGATTAAAGCCCTAATGTGGAAAAGAGACCATAAGTTGCTGCCAACATCAAGAAAGATTGCTACGGTTTTTCATGTTATTTTGATATTTGCTATTGATAATTTGGCAAATGTAAACAATAAAATAAAATTTTCATAATATCATGCGGATGAAGCCGCACGGGAACAGCTAGTTAATAATACCGCTGCCTATGTACAATGAGACATTTGCAGAAAATGAATGTTACAGAATGCCTATCATTATTTAGGCAGAAAGTACAAACAGGGAAAGCGCATCTCTAATCCCTATTCAATCTCATTCCTGTCGAATCAATTGTTCCGCTTTTCAAATAGCCGCAGCCCAAGGTCATCGACCATTCCCCCTCCCTACGCATCTCGATACACTTAACAACGCTTATACCATACAGCGATATGCGTGAAGTTAAAAGCCGAGTCACATGTAAATAATAATACGTTTATCAGAAAATAGAAGGATGGTACTGTTACCATAATCTTAGTTCTGTAACTAAGATTAAGGGCCTCTCCCACCACTGGCTGATAGAGGCACAGATTGCGTAAAAATGACGTCACTGTCAGATAAGGGAACAAAATCCGATATTTCTATCACATTTACACATTGGATTGTAATCAGATAATTTACAATTTGGTGGGACAGGCCCTTAAGCACCAAAATAAATTACAAGATTAATACCACCGCAGTTGTTTCCTATTGATTTAGAAATATTTTTCAATAGTATGTCGTTTAATTTCGCTAGCAATACAAATCGCGCGTCATAAAACAAACCTTTATAACTTTAAACAAGCAATATTTCATTAACGATTGAAACTATTATTAAAGGTACATTGTTAAAGGTAACGACGGTAAAGGTTTGCGTTGAAACATAACTTCTCGGAACGTATAAATCCGTCAAGGGAACGTTTACTGGCGAGTTATAGTTCGTGCAATCAACAAGTACAAGTAATTATGTTAAGTGATTTATTATCAATGTAAATCAAACACGTCATTGTTGTATTAAAATATTGAATGACGTAAATGGTGTTAGGATCGCCCATGAAAGAAATAATAAAGAACGAATTTTTAGAGGAGGCCTATGGCAAGAGGCACACTAATATCTTAAAATTTTACTCTGAGCTCTGTAATCATACTAATCATACTTACTAATTTTAAATGCGAAAGTTTAGATGGATGGATGTTAGAGTTTGTAGCCTAAACAGCTGAACGGATTTGGGTTTAATTTGGCATAAATGTAGAGCATAGTTTGAAAGAACACATAGGATATTTAATTATTTTTTATTTCACGCGGACGAAAGCTAGTAATCTTCATATAAGGAAAACGTATTTAAGTTATATTTTCCGGTTACATCCACTAAACGGAAGTGTGCAGTGCGACGTGGGGCGAGGGCAAGGGGGAGGGGATCGAAAGGAAGGGGGATAATCAATACCCAAAGAACTATAAAACATTATATATTTATTACTTTATTATATAGTTAGTAAAAAATTACACGTACTTTTAACATATTCTTACATTAAAATTAAAATGTACGAGAATCACACACTAGGTTAACCACAAAAAAACTTATTCACACCATAATTTACACTTGGGTGGCTTAATATTAATTAAAAGAAAAATAAGTAAACAGATTTAGTTAAATTGCAGTTAATCAATCGACCAAATGGGCTAAAAATTCCCAATGGGGCGATGGAACGTTTGGCCAATCGACCAAACGAGAACCACCCTTAAAAAGACCCTTATAAAAATATAAATTCGCCGAAAAATGATAAAATGCAAAATAGCAATTGTAATAAGTTTGTTTTAATTGTTTATTGCGAATATGAAGTAGGTCTTTGGAGCAACACAATCTGAGTACTAACCAATAATCGAACCTATTTCGCTGTAAATGAATTCTCAGAACGATGTCGGCGCTGCGGGGGCAGCGGCGAACGGAGAGGAAGGGGTGGAACTGAAGGTCCGTATTTTCGGTATCCACTACAAATGATAGCAGCTTTTATTTCTATTGGGTTAAGAGTCATTATCGCTTACTGGCATTCTTCTTTAATTATTAAAATTCATGCTGAAATATATTATATCTCCTTTTCAGTTGTTTCTATCAGTTTGAATGTTGTTTTTTTAGGATATAAACGGAAATTAAATGTTAGATTTTTACTAAATATAAGAAATACTATGTATTGATCCACAATAATCTAGATACTTCGACATAACTATATTTACTTAAGTACTAAAAACTAAATATTAAGTAAGAAACCACCAAGGCTTCTATGCATTTAATGTGTGTATTGTGGGCATTGAACAGAATTCCCGACAGCTAAACAGCCGAATTCTGAAACGCTATTAAAAATAACAGACTTGAATATCAAGGCCACTGGATTCGAATAAAGAACCAATGTTTCCGTTTTGATATCTAGATTTATCAACATGTTTCTAAAATAATCTAAAACATGCAAATAAGAGACATAAATCTACGTTAAATCCGTCGATCTGTCGACAAAGATATCCGAGCATTCTCCTTTCATCGGCGGCTATATATTGCAGCTTCCTTTTTAATTATCCCAGCACTCTTTGTCCTCCGCTGAGCTGAGCCTCGCAACACGGCGAAGTGCTCGGAGATCATTTAGCAAATGTTTTGTTCAATGCACCAAATAACTTTCATACGCTGCGTCGGGTTAAAGCTACTTAAGATATTAAAAGAGAACGATTACAAGACTCGGGCCTTTTTGTAAATGTATGCAAGTTGGGTTTTTTGAAAACTGTGATTATTTTAGTGTTGAAAAATGTGTCAGTGTGTTTATAACTTTTATTTACAAAGTAGTTTAACTAGTGTTTATTAATTTTTTTGCGGTATAAAAGCGCTTTTTATTGTTAACATACTGGCACATAAACTTCCTAATTTTTTCGAAAAAAAAAATGATGAAAATATAATCATGTAGAAAAGACACCAATGTATAGTTTCGATATAAAAATAAATATTTGTATTTATTATACATGCAAGTTTAAAGTCACCTTTTGTATTTATTATTACTAAGCACCATATCAAATATTAAAGTGTCTATTCCCTAGTTACATTAAAAGAAAACAACAATAATACAAGTTTGAATAGCGTTTAACATTTTTTGAGGACGCGTTAAGTTCAACCCGCAAGGGATTGACCGAATAACAGATCGTGTATCCAACATATCGAGCGACTTGTGTCAACCAGTGTAAGGAGAGCTGTTCACATGTGGCCGCGGGAATGAATTATTGCAACTTCATTTACTAAGCTTGTCGTATTCCGTCGCGTGAATCTGGGATAAGCTATGCCCCTGTTTTGATCTATGTGCTGCGAGTTTATCACTCTTTAATTTCGTGTTCCATTTACCAGTGACGTATCAAGCTCCTTTCTAGGTTAAAAAGGAAGATCAGTTTCATCTGGTGAAAAACTTCGAAGCAAGCACTTTAAAAATTATCTCTTTTCCAAGATAAAAATTGCTATGAATTGTTTAAATAACACTTCATGATAATCTCGTTAGTGAGGTATACATTTTTAAACATTTTGATTACTAGCTTTCGCCAGCGACACCGTCTGCGTGGAAATAAAAAAACATAAGTAAGTAGCCTATATGTTCTTCCAGACTATCCACTACATCTATGCTAAATTTCATCGAGATTCATTCAGCCGTTTAAGCTACAAACTCTAACAAACATCCATCCATCTAAACTTTCGCATTTTTTGGCAAGAAGATTCATTAATTAAAAAAAAACAATGTCAATAATTTATATTTTTTTGTCATTTACAAATCAATTGAATGGTAAAGCAAAGTATGGAAATCAAGGATTAAATCCAAGCATTGTAAGCATTTAATTCAAGTTATTTAGTGAGTATCCTGTAAGCCCATCTACAGCTTTGTTTAAACAGTGATAGCCTTTGACGTTTACGAGGTACGTATTCCGCACTCCGCCCTCAGCCCTCGCGCCCACAACCCTCCTCGCCTCCCTGCGGCCTTCCTTTTCCCTTACAGCTAAATAAACTCAATGATTGTATACAAATTGAGGTTAATATTACTAGTAGTGTAAGACTACTCTTAATTCGTTAATCGATTTTATATTTAACCCTTAATCTAATTTAAAAAATCTACTGAAGTTTAGAGAAAAATACGTGATATTTTGATTTTTGTGTGTTGGTAACATAGTTGTAACTAGCTGTTCCCTCATCCGCAAGAAATTACGAAAATTTTATGTTGCACATGTCAAATTACAAATGTAAATGTCAAAATTACCGTTACCATAAAAACCTTGCTTCCTTGATGTTGGAAGCTCGTAGCTTATGGAAAGAATTTCTACATTAGGGTTTTTATCCAACTTATTTACCCCTAAGTTTTATAGTGTGAAAATATATAGCCTAAAGCGTGACGTAGGTGTAGGTCTTTTTATTAAAAAAAAGTGTTATTCAAAAATATGCTGCAATTGCTGAGATCTAACGCCACAAAGAAGTG